CCCACACCCCACCTATCGCCCAATGCCTTCATTCATCCCCGGCCGGCCCCGCCCCCGCGCCCCGCCGTCGCCCAATGCCTTCATTCATCCCCGACAGGCCCCGCCCCCGCCCCCTGACACACTCACTCCCCTCGCGACTGGATCTCCCCGCCGCCCGTCACCCGCAGCGGGGCGGGCCCGGTTTTTGATTGGCAGCCCGCGTACCCCTTCTTTGTTTACGCCGGGTTCTACGACACTATGGCAGAGAGTTGCAGCGCGTAGACAGTGTGCAGAGGGGAGGCAAGACAGGCGCGCTGGCTTTTAAACCTCTCTCTCTCTCTCTCAGTGCAACAATAACAATACTGCAGCTGCAAACCAGGTTATCCGATCAATTAAAAGCAGGTTGTACGGTGATGCTTTTTGGCCTTTAAAATCACGTACAGAAAATCCACCCCACACTCAATTCCTGTGCATATTTAATATCGTCTGCAAAATGTTACTTGGTAATGAATTTTAACGCATCGGAATGTTTTTAACCCTTACATCACCCGCGTTGGGTGGAGCCTACAGAGAGGTGCTTTTTAATTGAACACGGACTTTTAAAGACTTTTTACGAGTTTCGTTGCTAATAAGAACATATTTTACAGTGTAATGCTTAATTTAGTTTCAGCCGACAAAACATATTCTTGTGGGGTCTGATAGCTATGCAAATTGGACCTTCAGCTACTGTAAACATACATTTGGGACAGCACGTTCCTCTGTTCTACTGTTTTTGAAAAAAAAATAAACACACAAATTGCACGCATTCAGCTGTTGTGGTCGATTTCTGCATTCTCTCGCGTGGTTATTTTGTCAACAAACTTCCAACGGTTATTTACAGCCCACCGCATCTTCCCGCTGGGGAATGTTCAGTCCCACTAACTGGCGACTTTCTGAGGTATAACACCTCAAACATGGAGAAGTTCCCTTCAGCCGCACTGGGGCAGTTTGCCTCTGCCTTGGCAGACTAGCTAGCTCGGCTTGTCTGCCCCCTGTGGAGAAGGCAGTTTCACATCAAGGTTTCAGGGATCGGACCGACTACAAAGAAACCCGAACGCCGACGATGTGTGTGTGTTTTTTTTAAGACCCTTGCGCGTATTAAACAAAATATTGAAAAATATACACGTCTGTGATGTGGCTTTTTGGGTGTTGGTGAGAGAAGGCGCTTTCTCCAACCTTGCAATAATCGAGTCTCTGCCCTGTGTCCAGGAGGCAAATTACACCGAACCTAACCCCACCTTCGCTAGCACACAAATACAACCACATTGTCTGATGCAACATTCCCAACAACTTTACAGAATCCGGAAATAAAGGAAGAAGTTTTGGAATTTGCATATGGTATTTTAAAAAGCACACCCAATCACCGGGCGACTTATTATTTTGAAAGATAAAAACATAACATGCGGAATATTGTTAGTAACACTTCCGACCGACCGGGGTTTGGAAACAGCAGCTCCAGCCAGACCATTTAATTCACATGAAGACAAACAGACCGCACACGTTCGCTCGGGCAGGCTTCATTACTAGTCCATAGACTTCGGTTCAAATGCAGTGGAATTGTTGCTTAATCATTGTGTCACTGAAAGCAGCAATGTCTCCTGCTGCCTTGTAACAAAGTTCAAGTTGTCACTCAGCAAACTTTTGCAATGTAATAGTAATTGCTCTAAAAATACCTGGCTACTCCCTATTAATAAATAGAACTTACCCCCGCCCCACCCCTCTCCAAAGAAAGTATACACGCAGACATGAAAATATTTTGCCCAATATTAAAAGCGTGATTCACACATCACTATAAACTTAAAAGTAGAACATAACAACGGTTCCAGGTGGGTGGAGGCGAAAGTGGATTAAATACTCCTTTCAACATTAAAAGATGCTTTCTCTCGCCTTTGGAGTGCTTTTCAAACTATCATTTAGTCTTTTAGAAGGTAGATGATAACTCGTCATTTCAAAGGGGTACTCCTAGTTTTATGTCAGCGCCAATGAGTCGAATCCTGCCTTGGGTTGGCATTGAGGTTTTCTAAAGTATAGTCTCATGTCTGTTTCTTCATAACTACTATGATCAGGGTTCAGTGAAAATGGCATACTGGTTAAACTAGCCATACAGAAAGAGGTGTGGGCGTAGTCTTTAACTACAACAACCTCATACTCTGTTCAAAGACTTAAAGATTATAAATGGGCATGAAACGTGATCATACAAATACAAAGAGAAGTGTTCAGTCATTCATTAATAAAAACGCTGAAATATTTTATTCATGTAGTATGGGGGCGACCAGTGTAGGCTACAATTTATTTCTTAAAAAGACAACTTTTGCTCCAAGAATTCAGATACCGAATATGGAATAAACCGTTTCTACAAGTACGGCATTGGTCCCGAGTGGCTGCTGTTTTACAACAGGACTGGATTGATGGGGAATGCTTTGATAAAGTTTTGATAATACTTATGTAAATGCCAGAGACCACATCGCATTCCAGTCGTTTTTGCAATACCGGAGTCTGCCCCACGCTATGAAAATGCACACGGAGTACATTCAGATACATCATTCATAGGTAACAAGTCTTTCCTTTATAACATCATCTCAGCCTTAAAATATGCATTTTAGGTTTCACGTCGTCCAGATCTAGTTGGTGGGCGAATCGAAATAAAAGACACACAATGGTGTAACAGAAGAAACTACAGATTTAAAGTTGATTCTACACTGGAGTCTCTGTATCAAAGTGCTTTAAAAAACACTGGCTTACGAGGCTCCTTGTATTTAATGGGAGAAACTGACAAACTATGTTGCCTATAGACGATACGATCTCTTAAATTGTGTCAATACTGAGTGAGAGGGCATTATGGTGTGAAGGATGCTGTCCAAGGTGTCAGCTATGCTGTAGCGTTTTCACCTCTGAGTCAGAACGTTCTAAGCCCAACTCCAGATCTATAAGCCTTGCTGTTTAGCACAGAGATAAAGCCAGGAGCCTGTCTTGGTTGTCAGTGGTCCTCAGTCTATCAAGGGAGATAGCCTTCAGTTATGGATCCCATAAAGTAATGGGCAACTTCCTGTACCAGCTCAGGGTCTTGGATATAGTTAGCTGTTCAGGAAGGTCAGAGTCAGTGTTCTCACTACACAAGGGCTTGAGAACTCATTCCATCCTACATGGGCTATTTTCCTCCTGGAATGAGAGATAGACAGCTACTAAGGATGTGGAAGTGGGTGGCACAGCTGTTATTTTTGGTGCAGGTGGGGAGGTGTCCCAAGCGGGTGAGTAGGCATCAGAAAGGGCATGCAGGGTTAGTGGTGTCCAGTTTTGGGGGTCAGCGAGAAAATGTGAGGAATGTTTTAGCAAATAATAGTCAGAGTGGTAGAGCAAAAACCTTGGTTGGATGTGGGTGCAGCAGCAGAAATAAAGGGATTGTGAAGTATCAGACAGAAAGTGGTTCCACTCTGTGGAGGAAGTTTCTTACTACTTTACTGTGCATTCCTCCAGATGGCTGAGATTCCAGCAGCTCAGTGGGTGCAACCTCGGACCATGCTCTGATGTCATGACCTCCACTGCTGATCCTGGGATTAGTGGAGATCCCTCCCCTGCACCATCCCACTCACCAGGATCTCCAGGTGACTTCTTGTAAATTCGGACTAATGTTCCCTTCTCTGCCATGCCCAGGATAAAGATCACTAACCACGTAGGGCAGCTCTGGACGGACAGTGCTTCCAGGCTTTTTAAAAGTGGCATCAATACCAGGGTTACTGGAGCATTACCAAATACACTGGCAATGGTAATTTGCTCTGCATCTAGTGAGTGGTGAAATGGGGCTCCCAGTACCTTACACCAAGTTGCTATATTTCATGTGCAAGTCCTAACTAATATTCATTAACACGTCAATGTGGATTACCCAAAACCTGCATTTCTTTTTGCTCCTTTCTTGGTTTCTCTCCTTCATGCAACTGTCAATTCCACAACTGATGACTGCCTTTTCACAAACTGGTGTCAGCTTGTAAGATTTGTACAGAAATTTTCTTTTATTCATTCATGGGATGTGCACATCAATATTTAAATATTGCCCCTAACCCATGTCTGGGTCAACATCCCTATTGCCTTTGAGAATGTGGTAGTGGTGGAAATATTTCATTAGATTACAGCCTGTTGCTCACTTCAAGATGGTTCTGAAGAAGTCATACCAGATTCGACACTTTAACTCTGCTTCTCTCTCATCAGACATTGCCAGACTTGTTGAGTTTTTCCAGCATTCTCCGTGTTTCTTCTGAATAATTGCTATTCTACATATAAACCTATTTGAATAACTTTATTACATCTTGAACTGCAAATTATTCCCATGTATCCATTGTTCACTATGTAGACTTTATGAAGCACTTTGATACTGAGATTCCAGTGTAGAATCAACAAGTAGACTATAGGATCCCTGTTGACTAGATTTCAACATGTAACTGATTCAACAAACATTGACTTGGTGGGAGTATTTTTATGAACATTTATTGGTAATGGGAAATTACACTCACCATTAGTGCAGATTGAAAAATCAAGAATGTACCGCATAAGATTTTCTGATATACAATAGTGATGGGAGACAAATACCATAAAAATTCTACATTATATGTGTAAAACAACTAAACACCTGCAACTCACACCCAGACATTCAATGTTCCATAGTTAAACCCTCCATAAAATGGTACACTGGCCTTTATTGCAAGAGGATTTGAGTTCAGAAGTAGAGATGTCTTACTGCAATTCTTTAGGGTCCTGGTGAAACCTGGAGTATTATGTGCAGTTTTGGTCTCTGTACCTAAGACAAAATATACTTGCCAT